TTCCCAGGCCCAGTTTCTTCTACCCAGAAGCCAGGCCAGAGCCCAACTCTTTGCTTTCTCTTAGGAAAGACGGGACTGTGACACACATAGAAAAAGCACAAAACTGCCAAGAGAATCTGCTCCCTTCCCCACTGTCTGTCCAGGTCTGGGGTAAAACCAAGCAGTCTCAAGGCAGTGAGCTGCTCCCCCCTGCCAGCCCCCCCCTGCCCCGGGGAGGGCCCGCGATGCCCCACGGCCACAGCGGCAGAAAGGGTCCGTCCTGGTTTGCAACCCAAGAAAGCAGAAACAGTCCCAGGGCGGCACCTGGGCCGCGCGGTGCCGGGAAGCTGCGAGGCACCTTCGGCTCCACCGCCCCGCACAGCTCTGCCTTCCTCGCTAAGTCAGCAGCTCCCAACGACGACTCAGCACCGATAACGAATTTATAGGTCTCTGGTTACTCCCGTAAAATTGGCTATTACTGGAAGATGGTTAAGTTATTATATTGTTTTATGGCTTCATGAGGGCAGGTTGCACGGTCCACACTGGGTGGGAAATACTGCCGGGGCAACGCTGTGAAGAATAACACAAGCTAGAGAACCTGCTAGAAGGGGGAAACCACGGGGCTCCCCACGTGTCCCGTCCTGCTCGGACAGCACCAGGAGCAGTAAGGTGTGCGGGATCAGCGCCGCACAGGACGAGCCACGGGCGATAACAGCTCCTTCCCGGGACTCCGGCAGCACTGGAACTGCTGTCCCGCAGCACAGCCTCAGCTCAGCCCAGCCCCAGCAAACACCGCACCGACGGTGCTAGCAGCTCCCCACAACAGGAGAGCATCCGGGCTGCAGGAAACGTTGTTCCTTCAAGATCTGGCTTCAGCCCAAGTTGGACCAAAACCAACAAGGCAGAAATTCCAAGTAAGCTTTGTTTTCCAAACTGAAACACAGCACTTCCTGAACAAACCATGTCCTCTCCTGGACCTCACAGCTTACTGAAACTCACGTTCTCCTCCAAGGTACGAAGTACAGCCAGGGGCTGGGCAACAGCCTCCTCTGAGCCTCCCCACGGCTTCGCGGCTACAGCCTCCCCGTGCGAAAGCGGGATCTTTGCTGCTCCCAAAGTTGACAGCACTGGTGTCACTCGTGCCCGAGAACCACAGACCTGACGGCCCCATCCAGCTGCCCGCTGCAAGAGCAGGGACCCAAAACCCGCAGCAGCTCTCATTTCACAGACCCCGTGCTGCAAACAGAGTGTAAGGTGTATCCTAAGGCAGTCACAGAAAACCACAGGACCCAGGCAAAGCTACACCCAAATCCCAGCCAGAACCCGCTGGGTTGGGGATGTTCACAGCCAAAGTCTCTGCTCGACAAATCAGCGCTTTCCTGTTGACGCTGGCCTCACTTCTCCTGTTCTAGCTGGGAACTCACAAACTCTGCAATCCATCTGCCAGAGCGGAGGGTAGCACCGTGCCCTGCACGGCTCTTGACAAACTGAGGTCCGTAGGCAGGGCTCCGCGGGAGCGCTGGGGCAGCATCAGAGCCGCCGAAAGCCCTGCCCGGTCACCTGAGGGGCACGACCCAGGGCTGAGCAGGACACACCTGCATATTTCCAGCACCCTTAATGCCACCTGTCTGCAACCAAGCTCTTGGAAGCAGGGGCACTCAGCACGGACACATCTGAGAAATAAATACGTGCTAAATATAGAAGGAGAGACAAGAGGACCAACTGATAGTGGCCAAGGACTGAGGTCAAGGCTGGGAAGCAGCAGAAGCACAGGATGGGAAGTAAACAAGCCTGACCAGTAGGAGAGCCTTGGGGTGACCCAGCCCAGGGTCCCCCCTATCAGAAACGCTCCCAACTCCCCTCTCCTTCGAACCCTTTGCCTGGCAGGAGAGTTCAGAGGAAGGGGAATCCGTGCTACTGCTGGCAAAACAGGTAAGCAACAGGGTACAGGGTAATCTCTTCTGCCTGTGGGCTGCGGACTGAGTGTAAGGCTGTTGGGTCTTGGTCATGCCACAAAATAAGTAACTGAGAGTACATCGTCCCCCAGATGTGGCCAGAGGTGATCTGGGTGGCTGCCATCACGCCTCCTGCAGGTACTCCTCCTTCCTTCTGACTTCCTCCTTCCTCTCCTTTCGCTTGCTCTGATAAGAATGCTTTTGCTGAGGAGATAATCAACGTTGCGATGTTTCTGAAAGTTTACAGCCGGGCAAATTATGAAACCAAAGTCTTACCTCATCAGTTGCCAGCACATTCAGCTGATCCAGGTCTCCTTCCAAGAAGATTTGCTAACTCCATTTCCCTGCCAGAGTTCATGAGTTGGAATCGCCAACAGAAAGAGAACATTTTATAGCCTTATTGACTTTTTTTTTTCCAAGAAAGTCCTCTTTGTTGGCATTTTTTGTCTTCAACAAAGCAAGAAAACCTTTATCAACAGCAAGGCAAGTGCAGCACACGTCAGCTAAGTCTCTCCTTTCTCTAAGCATAGTCCCGGCTATCTTCAGCACCATCTACGAGATGATCAGAGGATAGGCTTCTGCCCAGAAACCTTCCAGCTGAAGAGGAAGCATTGAAGGCTGTGGCTCAAATGGAAGTTTACAAACACTTTGTATTCCAAATGCTCCCATTGTTCCTTCTCTTTGTTTTTTTTCCTGCAGCTCTAGTAAAATGTCAACAAGACTCCCAACGGGTCCCACAGTACAGCAAGAAGAGGCAGAACGCCCCTGCACAACACCAGAGCCTGCCCAGCCCCACCAGCGCCTGCCCGTGCAGAAGACCAAGAGCGAAGCTTCAGCGCAGATCCCCGTCACTTGACCACGCAGTCACCCAGCGTCGGTGGCAATCACCAGGACAGCCCCCACTCCCCCCCACGGCTGCGCTGCAGCAGAGAGCACAGCCCTGCAGCACCAACGCAACGGGGCGAGCGCTGGCAGCCAACAGCCAGCTTACCCACGGACTCGGAACAGAGCCCAGCAACTCCGATCTCTTGTCAGGAGGACACGAGGTGAGCGGTTTACGAGGAGCCCAGGCTGACAACTTCCCCACCCAGGGTTTCAATCTCTCCCCAAAAAGTGACCCCTAAGGTACCAACAGCCTCTCCTGACAGGCTCCAGAGCTCAAGGCTGGGCTGGCTCCTGCCCTCCAGAGAGAGCAGAGCTCTGGAGCAGCCAGGCGCTGGGGGAACAACGGCGCTGGTCCGGAGGAGCGCACAGAGCCTACAACCCACCTTGTCCATGTGGAAGATGAGGTCCAGCTCACAGACATTCTCAAAGCACTTGTCCAGCGTCTCCACAAACACCTGAGGGGGCAGGAAGGGAAGGTCAGTACACAAGACCACCGCAAGATGCTTCCCGCACACAGTCCCAGGGCCTGCAGGTGAAGAAGCCGCAGCCCCAACCAGAAACTTGCTGCTCCCCAGAGTGTCACCCTGAGCGGGGACAAAACCTTCCCAACAACCCCGTCTCCCTTCGATGGCATGCCTGTTCTCAGAGCAAACGCAGGCAGGCCCAGCCGGAGGGCTGTCCGGGACCCCTAGCACCACAGCGTGGGGTCAGGCGACTGCCACACAGGCACCGGTGCCAGTCCTCATAACACCGCAGAAACCAGATGGAGAAGCTCAGACCTGCTCGAGAGCTTGTCTTGGCAAGGAGCCACAGCTGGAACAAGAGCCTGGGCTGGGTTGGCTGTGGAGGGCATGGCAGGTCCAACCTGCTCCCTGTTGTCTTCAGGTGCCACCGGTGCTGCCCGCACATCTGGAAGCCGCCTCAAGAGGCCTGGCACAAGGTCAGGGGCACTGAAACACAGGACTCGCCTGTTCTGGGGAAAACACCCCAGGTGTCAATGTCCTGATTCACTGCAGTGCTGGGACAACAGCTGGCGGCTGCGCTTGGGGCAGGGCACAGCCCACCAGAACAGCCCGAGAGGGGCCGAGTTACGGGAACTGCATGATCACAGGGCGGGTGACCCCTGCAAGCGTCACTCGTGCCTGCCACTAGCTGGATTTAGCAAAGGTCCCTTTACAAGTCCATGCAGTGCTTGAACACAATTTAAAAATGTGCTTGTAGTTTGGGCCTCTCACTACAAGAGAGACCTTGAGGGGCTGGAGCGAGTCCAGAGAAGGGCAACGAAGGCGGAGAAGGGTCTGGAGCACAAGTCTGATGGGGAGCGGCTGAGGGAGCTGGGTGGGTTTGGTCTGGAGAAGAGGAGGCTGAGGGGAGACCTGATCGCTCTCTACAACGACCTGACAGGAGGGGGTAGCCAGGTAACAAGCGATAGGATGAGAGGAAACGGCCTCAGGCTGCACCAGGGGAGGTTTAGATTGGATATTAGGAAGCATTTCTTCACCAAAAGGGTTGTCAAGCACTGGAGCAGGCTGCCCAGGGAAGTGGTGGAGTCACCATCCCTGGAGGGATTTAAAAGACGTGTAGACGTGGTGCTCAGGCCTTGGCAGTGTTAGATTAACACTTTTTTTGTTTGCCCAAGATACTAAACTGAGTGAGGAAGTGGACACTTTGGAAGGAAGGGCCAGAAGAGTGGGCTGACAAGAACCCTGTGAAGTTCAACAAAGACAAATCTAAGGTCTTGCACCTGGAAAAACATAATCCAGGAGTGCAGCACAGGCTAGGATCTACCCAGCTGGGGAGCAGCTCTGTGGACAGGGACCTGGGGGTGCTGGTGGACAACCTCAGTATGAGCGCTGCTGCGGCAAAGAAAGCCAACAGGGTGCTGGGCTGCATCAACAAGGGCATCACCAGCCGGGATAAAGAAGTCATTATCCCACTCTACTCGGCGCTGGTCAGGCCACACCTGGAACACTGCGCTCGGTTTTGGTCCCCACTGTGCAAAAAAGCTGTGGACAGGCTGGAGAGGGTCCAGAGAAGGGCCACAAAGACGATCAAAGGACAGGGAAGCCTGCCGTGTGAGGAAAGGCTGAGAGAACTGCATGTGTTCAGCCTTGAGAAAAGGCTTAGGGGAGATCTTATCACCATGTTCCAGTACTGAAAGGGCGGCTACAAAGAAGATGGAGACTCCCTTTTTACAAGGAGTCACATGGGAAAAACAAGGGCTAATGGGTACAAGGTACTCCTAGGGACATTCCAACTGGACACAGGAGGAAATTTTTTTACAATGAGAACAATCAGCCACCGGAACAATCTCCCCAGGGAAGCATTGGATTGCTCAACACTGGACACTTTTAAGATTCGGCTGGACAGGGCAACGGGCCATCTTATCTCGATCGTGCTTGTGCCAAGAAAGGTTGGACCAGATGATCCCTGAGGTCCCTTCCAACCTGGTATTCTATGATTAACGGTTGGACTCGATGATCTTAAGGGTCTTTTCCAACCTAAATTGTTCTATGGCTATTTTTTAAAAGAAATTCATTCGGATCAACTTCTCCTGCTGCTTCCAAGTGGAGTTAGCTGTATCGGCTAACACGCCTGCAGCTCCCTCTCCCCATCGCAGCCCCCTGAACAGCTTCTCAGCCACTTCCAGAAGGGCCGGCATGGAGATGCCACAGACACAAAGCACACCCGAAAGGTGCCGGGGCCGGGCTGGCCAACAAGCACTGCGCTTCGAG